TTACTCTACTCGACCTGTTGTGAGTAACCAGTAGATCAACTTATATCCCCCAGTCAATCTACTTAAACCTGCTCAATTTCCTTGCTCTCTTGACATGTATATTTACACATCTGTTAGTGCTAACTCTACCTGCTCACGCTACTAATTGACACTGATGCCAGGTGCTCAGCCCGTTATCTGCCCTCATCACGTAACTTGACAGGTGTTTTGACTTCTCTACACTTGTTTACCACTTCAAGCGCAAATGTTTCCTTTTACGAGTGACTTAACTCGGTCGCGCCTGTTTGTGCACACTTAAACATCTGCTTTACTACACCTGCACATCAGTAGTGACGCCTCGGTACCTACACCTGCACACCAACAAATCTCGTGTGTTCACAGAGATTATGTTGCGAATTTACTATAGGTGAAGTGGTCAAGCACTTGCGGGAGCGTGAGCACTTGCGGGAGTGTGACCACTTGCGCGTGCGTGAGCACTTGCGGGAGCGGGAGCACTTGCGGGAGCGGGAGCACTTGCGGGAGCGGGAGCACTTGCGGGAGCGGGAGCACTTGCGGGAGCGGGAGCACTTGCGGGAGCGGGAGCACTTGAGGCAGCGTGAGCACTTGAGGCAGCGTGTATTCCCACGAGAGGCCGGTCAAGAGGACTAAAACAGATTCTTGAAAACTTTCCAGAAAGTTTGGGATCTTGAAAAGTTAACAGCGCAATTTCGATAACTTCAATCAAGAACACCTTTTGAGCGCGCACACACGAACCTCCTCCTTGACAGTGTTGCACGCTCGGTGCACTAAAGCATGTCCTTTGGCAACCCGTTTTCTTAACTAATAGGTCGCGTTTTTGACGTTATGGTAATCAACGCTTCAAATGCAACCTACTATGAAACGTAACGGCTTACAAATATACGTTTGTTGCGCATCGGACTCAATGGGTTAGGTGGGTTAGTTGGGCTTGTACGTTTGGAGGTTGAACACTTTACGGAGTGGCAGATGATGAGAATGAGGTGTGTTGAGGCGCAGAGCGACTCACTGGTGAGTGTTCTGACGCTGGGCTCCAGAGTAGATGAGTAGTAAACACACTTGAGAAACATCGTAGTTGAAGACCAATCAGGTTGAGTATAGGATTAATGAACCAAAGTGGATGACCATAGGATTAAAGGAGCTTGTATAAACAAACCAGGAATGGGCGAGTTTATACAAAAAATTGTTTCAAACTAGCAAGACGTATATGAACAAACTTGAAATAAGACAAGCAACTAAATTGTGCTCTTCTAAGGACTGACCGGACAAGGACAATCCTGAAGTGGTCTTTCAGATATATCAAAGATTAGGGAGAAGACTAAGCCTTTAAAATATCATCTGCGCAAATAATTGATAATCAAATCAGAGACTTTATTCGTAAATTTATAATTGGGAAAGTTTGCATAAAAAGTACAGTACATTAAATACACAAGTCACAATAACAGCAAAACAGGAAGACATTAGACATTGTCACTATCAGGTTCAGAAACATTGTTCGTAATAACTTGTACAAATCACTGGCTGAACTAAACACGTGTACAGCAGTCTAAATCAGACTTATATTTTGGGAATAAAGTAACATTTAGCTTTACAATTTGAAAGGCAATATATAGTAGACAAAATGAAGTCTAACATTAGAGCAGATAATTAGAAGTAGAATATAAACTAATCATACTATGACGTAGATATTTACACATCCACAACATTCTACATCAGTCGAGTCCGGTGCCATCCCAGCTCAAATTTACCCCAAACACACAGCGATGATATCACACAGATAACATCGATCTGACCAAATGGACGCAAAATGTATGTCAGTAATCCGTCTCTCTGTGACATTAGTTCCTTCATTCTCCCTGCTGACGAGTTGTGTTGTCCTTCCTGTAGACTTGCTACACTATTAAATATATCACAAGGAATTAAGATTTAAACGCTATGAGTGTTAGAGGCTTTACAAGAATGTAAAAACCTCAATGGCATATAGTCTCATAAACCCATTGTACTTTCTTGTATATAAATAAATAAATTTAACGTGGAGTGGAGTAGATGTGTAAGAGAAAACTATGTTAGGATGACACATTTCCAAAAAGTCGAATTGCGGCATTAAGTAGTTCCTTGTGACGGATGGAACTTACAGAGCTAAACATGGAAGGAGACCTGAATACATTATAGGTGGGTCTGTTCATGGGATGTGACGGGATCCTATACGTGAGTGACATGACAAACAGTTACAGTATACAATATATATTCAAATTACAACTTATTAAACATATTCTTAGTAAACTCCAGGAAAGTAGAATACATTATCAAGTGATTAGGTCAAATAACAATGACCCAAAATGGATAACCATGGGACATCAAGAGGAGGCAGAGGAGGAGAGCAGTCTTAGGAAGTATTTGTCTTGGAGTTTCATAAAGGTCAAGGGGCTTAGGAAGACTCTTGACAAGGCTTTCTACAGCTTTCGTAAAGACCTCCAATTTATTCGCCGTGTTGGAGGATGAGTGTTGTGGGAAGGCTGCGGTTGCTCCAAAAGGTAAGACGACGAAAGCAGCGCCGGTAAAAGAAGTAATCGAATTTTGGTTGTAGGTGATTCCCAGGTGAGGTAATTAGACAACTTTTGGTGTCAGAGATATGGAAAAACAGGTTAATGGGGGATATTGTTAACAATTATGAGTAATATTATGGCTGGAAATTGGAGCAAACACAATATTTATGCTGGAGGAAATGTAGTAGGAAGAAAGCCTATTGGTCTCGCATGGACCAATAGACCTTCTGCAGTTAACTTAATTCCTATGTTATTGTGTTCTTAAGACTCATGCGAAACGGGGTTGATCATTGACGGGCACTTGTTATGACCGTCTCCATTATCTACTAACTGAAAACTCGAGGAGTTGTGGCATAACTCCGGGGTGCAGATAGACGAATGTTCACAAGTTTTCCTACTGGTGTCAACATTGGACTGTTGAACTCTAGCTTATTTCGTCGGCGTCTAATCCCCGACTAAGTGGTTGGGCACCATTCCTTCCCCCCCGTCCCATCACAAATCCTTATCCTGACCCCTTCCCAGTGCTATATAGTCGTAATGGCTTGGCGCTTTCCCCTGATAATTATTTGTTGTTGTTATTTCGTCGGCTTAGTCCTCGACCCTTAATTGCCGTCATCTTTTGCATTATACAGACTTACACCTTAACCCGGGGGCCTTTCGTACTTACTAAACCTAGCGCTTGTTGTAGAAACCGGTGTACTGTTGTTACAAGATCATCACAATTGGTATTGTCTTCGATACTTCGTGACGACCCTACATATCCCCCACGCATACAAGATTTTGACAGCTGCTCGCATTAAAAACACTGCTCACTTTCCTTTGTAGTCTTACTGCAACGATCGCACGATTGTTTCTGCACATGTACAATGTGTCCCCTTTGTATTGTGCCTTCCTATCCCCGTTGAGTCCCAGTTGTTAAATTCTGTAAAGCCCTCACTTGTATGGTGAGGTTTATACCGCCCAGAAAAACATTTTCCTTAAATATTTGTCACCAACATTTATGCGCTACTGCTGTTTACACACACATCGAAATCTGCTGATGGCATTGGCTTCGTTATTTTTTCTGATAAAACCTTTACGTGCAACCTTCTCCATGACGAGTATTTTTACCGTGGATCTTTATACAGTTGTATATGTTAAGAGATATACTTACGCTGTGGAAATCGAGATCCAACATGGACTGTTTCTCATCTTTAGCAAATTTAAGACTAAAGTTTTGCGGTCAACGCTGCTAATGAGGCCGTTCATGCCTATCCAGTCTCCCAGGACTGAATTCTTTACTTGGATTTCTACCGTCATTTATAATGGGATCCACAACCAACCGTTGAAGAGGTATGGTTGGTAAGTAATTATCAAAAGAAGGCACCAAGCCGGGAAAAGAGGTATGGTTACGTCCCACGTATTACATAATAGTAGCCAGAGAGAAGTCAAAATTTGATGATTACAGATTTAAATATATTGAAATATTGAATATATTGAAAAACGTCAATTGGGTTTAGCCAAATTCGCTCTAGCTGAAACAAACTGTGCCATGAAAATAGAACAAAGATCAGCGCCATACTTAAGTTTTGCCCCGAGGGGCGAGTTTATTGGGCAGCGCCACTCATCTTGTGAGTGGACACACCGCCATAGCAGCATGTACAACATTCCCCAATTCCCCATTTTGCACGCGCAAAATGGGGGGAACCTTTTGAGAACAGTATGCTATATTTGACAGTATTTTCCAAACTCAAACAATGTTGTTTCCTACACAACAATATGTAAGTCTGCGCTTAATGTTACAACCGTATTGTTCCGTCGCACATCTTCTCGCAGTACATTCTGATTTTTTGGTTGAATGGAAATTTTTCTCTCCCTCATTCTGTCACAAGTCTCTCGGTAAACTTCTCGGTTTGACGATTCTGCTTGCTTTCACATCCTTTGCCTTCTGCTCTCGTATTAAAATTCTGAAGGTATCTAGGAAGTCTTGAACATAATGTAACACGGTGACAGTTTTTTGGGCTTAGCGTTTTCTTTTGATAATTACTTGCTTTTTATATATTTAGTTGGTGAATGCTATTTAGGCTCCGCAAAAAAATGAAAATAGCAGTTGCATATATTGCAAGGCTTCCATAGTACCGTTTGCAGTTGAGACTACTGTTATTGACGTGTCAGATATGTTTGTCTAAACTTTACAACAGCTATATTTTTCGTATTAACCATCCCGCCCCCCTCCCCCCCCCCCCCCGAGATTTTTTATTTTTTTTTATTTTTTTAGAAAATCAGCTGGGGAGAAGTGTGGTTACGTGGCCCAATTACAATTGCTTTTGCATATTTTTAAGTTTTTAAAATTCCAAAGAAACCATCTGAGAACTTTCCCCAATGCGTAGGCAGATCTGTGCCACATGATTATCAGCTAAGAAATAAACAAAACCCCGAGGTGTTAAATGAAGGTTGTTAGCTTTGTAAGACATTTATTAGAAATTCTGTAGAGAAAACTGTTACATCGTTATACTGTATATATTAATAATATTGACTATATACAGAGACATCAGGAAAACACCGAAGGTTGAGTGAAATACAATGTAATACACAGGGCCTATAAGTCTTGAGGTCAATTTAATACCAGTATAGTTAATCAAATATTAAAAACAATGAGGTATATTTATTGTGTGATTTGCACCATTTAATCTGTACAAACGGGAAATCAAAGTACTGTACCATATTCTAGTACCTCATTGCTAAAACCTTTATATAAAAAATACAATCGAGGTGACCAGTGAATTTTTGGGGGTATATAAAATTATTTGGTTAAAAAAGTAAACATATTTTAAACATTATTACGAGGACATGAAATATACACACGATGGTTGTATGTTGGAGCCTCAACCACCCAGGATATACTTCACAGGACACCAACATGGCCAACTCGTGTGGTCCTGCGCACGTTCGCCAGCGCGTTACTCTACAACACACCAGAATTAGCAGCACAGATGACAATTATCCTGAGAAACAAATGGTTTAAACATCAAATATCCGGGAAAGTTTTAACATTCAGGCACTAACATCCACGATTCCTGGATGTTTAGGCACTAAGATATATATTTGATCATCAGGTACCGAAACAGTGGATAAATTGATGTCTAAACGTGCAGGATCATATCCTTTCATGTTTCAATATCAGCTTTTTTTCCTCATTAACCTGCTATATTAGGCTGGAAAAAAATTTCACTGGTCGACGTGACGAGAACAGAACAATGAAGGTTATGGTGTGGGAGTGGGGCAGTAGTGGGCTACTGCTGCTCCGTCCGGGCACATCTCGTCTGCATGTTTCTTGCTGTCTCTGAGCGCAACTCCTTACCACCATCTCCACCTATCTTCCTAACACCACAAAAGTGGCGTTCACGAACCTCTTCATAATTCAACGCCATCTCTAAAATATTCCAGTACTTCGTTCCTTTATCTAATATTCTATAGCTATTGTTAAAATATAGATTTGAAGATATTAACAGTAGACTGCAATAAGCGGGAACAGAGAGTGCCACTAGACTAAGGGTTGATGAGGAGAGGTATAACCTGAGTGCAGTACAGTCGTTCCCTGCCCGGACGGTCTGGCTCACTTGCCCTCCACTCCGCCCTCCCACCATCACACTTCTCTAAAATATGCCAATAAACCTTCAAAAAAAATAATTATAAATATACTGTATGCCCAAAAAAATCTGGATAAAATAACATGGTTTGGACACGTAAATATAAAAAAGTATTTGCTTACATGCTAAGGGTAAGTAGTTACAAGGGCATTAATAAGGGAATAACTAATATCTTGTTGTGATGCGCGAGTGGCTGGTAGCAGCAAAGCACTGCCACCGCCACACACTCTACCAACTAGCTAGTGTTGGAAGCGTTGTGTTGCCACATACAAACCTGAAGGAAAGTGAGGCCCTAAAGGTATCCCTGATAAGTTGCTCCTGCCTAACAAGTACTGACAAATAGAGAAATGATGTTGAGACGATAGAGAGAGGGGCGGGCTGACGAGAACAAAGGAGCATGGAACCTGCCCTACTTACCGGCATAGTTGTGTTTACCTGACATTACGGCTTTTCCACACATATACAACATCACCGATATTGACCACGCGGAGGTTACTAATCACCAGCAACACTCGCTCATTCAAACAACATGTCATTCACAAGGGGGTAATTACCCCCAAGTCTGACCCTGGACTGACTGGCTTGGGAGGTGGGGGAGAGGGGCGCTCTTGGTATTCACAATCTACCAACACTAGACAAATTTCCTGTTCATGTAACTCACTTAATTAAAGCTGGTTACAACTTCCGAAACACTTGATTAGTAAAGTGTTGAGCCGATCAGATGCTCACCGTTAAAACCACATAACAAGGGAAGTGCAGCTACCCCTCCCCCCACGCCGTCACCCCTGCCATCCCAGCCTATCTGGCACCTATACTATCACAATCACGCTGGTGAGACCTTCACTGCACCAGCCGCGTACCATCAACGTACTTATCCAAAAATATAACCATGACTTTAAAATAAAGTTCGTTATTACAAATATATACAATAAATCACATCACCAAAGACGAAATAAGAAAGAAAGATTCCTGACACTAGGGCTGTTGTCGAGCGACACAGCCAGTGGCAGTGTGGCTGGGGCCCCCATGGCTGACACTACACCTGCTGGGACCATCACATGTGGCTGGGGTGTGACTCTCCTGCACCTTTACAAAACACACCTATGCCAATTAAATCCTTTTCTCTACCATAACACACACTACACGTACCGCAGGATCATACATGGCACACAGTTAATACTTGTGATGCGAGGTCAACCACCAGTCCCATTATTCGGAGACAGCAGACTAAACGTCCCCCAGAGACCCACAGCCACACACCCAAAAGTTGAAAGGTCCCACGTGCACAATATTTCTACTTAACCATAATTATCCCTTCTCTGAACCTGTTAATAATACATTCCTTACTCTTATGTTATAAGTGTTGTTAATAGGCTGTTGTAAGGGGTTGGCTCGACCTATACCAGTGCTGGCAATCCTCTGGTGATAGCTGGAAAGAAAACTCTAAATTTATGTTTATGTAAACAATGGAAGAAAAGTTGTCTTTCCAGAATATTTGTTTTGACATGAGGAACGTGAAAATTAACTAAAGAACCAAACGGTACGAAAGCTTGAGGTATTAAATTCCATTAAGGGAAGTAAGAGTAGAATGCCAAATAAAATTTTATAAAACAAAGATCTCGATTAAGGAATGGCAGACTCGAGAACAGATACCAACTATATAATTAATTATATATATATATATATATATATATATATATATATATATATATATATATATATAATCAATTTTTTTAGTCAATACGTTACTGATAAAAGTATGTTCGTGTGGTATGAGGCTGCGAGACTGGACCGCCTCCAGCCTCTCGTATACCACGAGAGTAAAAGAGGCTAAATTATTAAAAATAAGCAAATTAAGTATGATCATAGAGGTACGGTGTGGAATGCAGGGTAGGGGGCTCTATGTTAGGTTTTATGAGGGTTCTAGTAAGTGAATGTTACCGACAGTAATGCGGTTAAGGGAGTCGGTGATACAGACGTACACAATATGGTTGGAGGGACGAGTATCTAGGGTTTAAGGGTGTGACTGTCTTCAGTGGGGAGAGGGATGATTATCTGGATCCAGGATGTGTGTGTGTGTGTGTGTGTGTGTGTGTGTGTGTGTGTGTGTGTGTGTGTGTGTGTGTGTGTGTGTGTGTGTGTGTGTGTGTGTGTGTGTGTGTGAGACGCTCTAGGATTTAATAATCTGCTGTTTGAGGTTTGGTAGGTGGGTGAACAGATTTGTTTTTAGTTGTATAGGGTGTGACTTCTTTAGATGAGACAGGTTTAGAACCCTGTCCCATGGGTTTAGTTTCTTTTTATGTTAGGGTTGCATTATGTGTAGCATGGTGTCTGGTGTTTGGTGTATGGTGTGGGAGTTAGTCAGCTGTAGGAGTGGTATAGGAGGGTCGGTAACAAATGTGATGCGTTGACACTGTACAAAGGATAGTAATGATGTGTGTAATATGGGATTGTAAAAGATGACGTATGATTTATTTTGGGAGGCGTGGTATCGGCGAACACATTGTGTGTTGTGGGGCGGACTGTGTGTGTATGGGGGGGGGGGGATACTGCGCGAGATGCTGTGTCAGTAAGATTACGTTGTGTGGGGAAGGGTGAAAAAGATTTTGAGGCCAGAGGAACCAACACCTTACATGTGTGAGCAGGTAACGAGAGCGGTGGTTGAGTGAGCTGTGGGTAGCAGCGCCACATTGTACTGAGGCTACTACCAACATAGCCTTTCTCCACTTCTCTGCGTTGCTGCTATGGGTAGCTTCTCTACCCAGTACATACGCCTAAACATAGATATTAGAACGCAGTAAAAGATGCTTCTTAACATTATACCTAATGAACCACCTTTTTTGTTTTACTCAACAATGGCCATTAAATGGCTTAATTTCAGATATAAACTGTATAACCTGATACCTTTTGTATAAATTTTTGAGACGATGGTGTGACACGCACATCCCTATCTTGTTTTGACGCCTGCAAGCGGCACAGGTTGTCCTGTACGCCATGTGTTAAAGCCGGAAAATGGTAACCATGTAACATGCTTATGATGATAAACCTATATGGCACCACGTGGTAATGTCAGCTTATAATGCTGCGACTTAGGCCAGCACGCCATACCCCGTATTGACGTGAGGACGCGTAACACGTGAGGGACGTGGCAAGGTGACCAAAGTAAGGGCTGCACCATCACATGGTCCAGCCTGACACTGCGCCAAGAGATGACGCCAAAACAATATTCACAAGCGTAAGTTAGGCAACCACCTGTGCTACAGAAATATTACACTCCCCGCGCGCAGCCAACCACTTTGACCAGGCAGGCTGCGCGCGTGACGTGTGGCGTGTGGTACGTAGAGACATGATGAGCTCATTACTACCCATCACTTAACCTGAATGTTTCAACTCCCTGACAATCACCTGGTACCACTCATGTTGGAGAGTGCCACCTATAGCCTAACACTACAGTGCCAAGGGAGCGTAAAATACTGTGAGGGGTATTCTACATGAGGTTATACTTCATCGTAATCTCCTGTACCGAGGGTCCATGCGCTGTTTATATCAAGTCTTAGTAAAATAGTGCATTTACTAATCTATCTGCTACCTGCTAAACACCTGCATTTGCTGCGTATCCATATTTGAATCCAACTTCATTAACATTAATCAGCTTTGGCTGTCGATCCGCTCTCGGTGGAGGTTGAGCATGCAGGTGTGGAGTCTGCCCTGAGGTGTTGTCTCTGGGGGTTGGGTAAGGGGAGAACGGGACTCAACAAAACATCTACTCTATGTGGATGGGATGTTACCTGACTATTCCTCCTACCACACCACCCAACTTTTACTTACAACATAGATATATATATATATGTGTGTGTGTGTGTATGTATATATATCTTACGTGTCGTGAGCAACATTTCCAATAACTTCCATAATATATCTTTTGATCAATTTGAATAGCATTGCACTTAAATTTAGATTTTTATTTTTACATATCGGTATTACCTGTACTGTGTGCCAACCTATCCGTATTAGCTTAAAGCCGAGACACATTACCTCGTACAATCGTTACCGGTCAACTGTCACGTGACCAGCTATTTACCCCAGAATAACGAAATAATAAAAACGTATTTGATATATTATATATAATACAATTAAAATGACGGGCATTCATTTCTATGGTACCTACTCGGGAGCAATACTAAGTCCAATTTTCATATCTTGGTTGGTCTTGTGTACTGTTGTTGGTCCTACTGTATAGGACCGCAACCTTTATATTATTTTGCAAACAGCTTACTGCGGGAGGTGCAGGCGTGAGACCAGGTGTCTGAGGTCCTGGTGCACCTCGGTTGCGAATAGTGCTCAAGCGCAGTGCTGCCCTGACCTGCGTGAGCGAGAAGGGGCGGCGGAACTGCGGGAACACTGGCGGCCACAGCGTCAGAAGTGGTAGGGCGGGTAGTGCGGATATTGCACAGGCCGAGTCGGGTCATCGGGCCTCGGTGGGTACGGCTGATAGGCGCGGTACTCCGGACGCAGACCAGGGTACTCCGGCAATGGATAGTAGTGCGGGTACACCTGCGGGTGCGGCGGTTGGGCCAAAGAAGCAGCGGGGGTATACAGAGGGTCTTGGGGGAGCGTCGCAGGCGGCGAATAAAGAGCAGGATGGTGAGGTTCAGTTGCTGCTGCGGCAGAATATATAGGCGCCTCCCCTCCCGTGAAGACCACGGGTGTGGGAGGACCACCACTTTCCCCATAGTCAGATCCTGGGCCCAGAGCAGGAGGAGCTTCCTGCTGTGGTCCCTGGTTCTGTACATCAGTCTGTTGCTGCTGTGGATGCTGCGATTGTAGATCGTGCTGAGACTGCGGCGTCTGCTGTGGTTGCGTTTGTTGTTCTTCCTCCGACGGGCACTTAGACCGGTGCGGGTCTTGCGGACCGTCGGCGCTGTGGCGGCCAGTGTTCCCTTCATCTAGTCAATATTGCTCTGAAGGAGGTCCTGGGGTAAGCTGCTGCTGCTGCTGTTGCTGCTGCTGCTGAGCCTGCTGTTGGGGCTGCTGCTGCTGCTGCTGAGGTGGTGGGGTGTGTTGTGTTTGCTGCTGCGACTGCTGCAGCGGCTGCTGTTGATTCTGAGATGCGTGTTGGGGATCTGCTGGATAATGCTCAACTGTCATCTCTTGATGCAAGAAATCCTGATGTGGAAGGCCGTCTTCGTATTTCCCTCGCTTGAAACGCCCGTACAACGAGGAATAAGGCAGATTAAAGTGTATAGCAGCTTGATTGATGGACATCTCACCTACCCGTACTGCTTCTAAGGCGTCCTTCATGTCCTCCTCCGACCATGGCACGCCCTGCGGAAGATACACCAGCCCTGGTTACTATACCGTCACAGACGTTCCTGCATATTTTTGTCTGTGCAAAAATATATCTAGTATCTATTATTTTCTGTGATTAAATATTAAGTTTCTCTTATGTAGTTTCTTGACGAATGTTTAGTGAAAATGGTTATAGGGAAAATGGTTATAGGGAAGGGAAAGTGGTGAAGTGGAGAAGGTTGTGAAGGGTCGGAAAGGTATTGAAAGATAGGGAAGGTGGTGAAGGGTAGGGTAGGATAAGGTACGTGAAGGGTAGGGTAGGTGTAAATAATTTTGTCCCCGTTGTTTCAGAGACACTTGGCGCTTGGGTTAGGATTGCCACCTAGTGCCAGGAGTGGTAGGAGAAGTGTTTTTTTCTTAAGGCACTAGGTTCAAGGCTAATTGAAACAAGATACCCTAGAGCTGCCAGCTTCCTTTTCCAGCGCCTCAGTGTAGCGATACGGAGGGAAATGTACACTACATACAGGGTTCCTGCCCACTATCTGAGAAGCTCGAGAAAGTCTACAACCTATAAAACAACAACTTTGTACCTTGTATGTAACCAAACCGTTTTTATAATAAAGTTTTAATAACATAAACAATTACAATATATAAGGGGGTGATGTAAGTTCGGAGTCGGAGTCTGAAATCCGAGGTTGGGAATGGCCTGGTAACTAGTGGCTCACCAGGTACCTCAGTACACTAATCAGGGATCAGAGTAATTATTGGCTCACCTGGTATTTGCTGAGCTCGATGCCCTCGCGGCGACACCGTCCGTAGAGCGTGCCTGTGGGGATGCCAAATTCCTGAGCTGCTTTCTGGACACTCATCCCCCCACGGATGGCGTCCAGGGCTTTGGTCAAGTCATCGGGGTTCCAAGACGGCTGAATGGCTGAGAACGGCGACGACAACTTGATGCCCTCCTTGCGGGCAATCTTGTACAATGTTGAGTTCGGAATGCCAAACTCCTTGGACGCTCTGGCGAAGACAAACGACCCATTCCCCCTTATTAACTAGTATATGCCACTAAATGTAACATTACAGCTGTAGATTTTTTAAAGAAAAAATAAATACATAATTTGTGAGATTTCAATAAAAAATGAACATGAAAAATAAGTTACAATTGTCTGATAAATATTATTACAAGTCACTTTCAATCCACAGCATGTGATTTCAAATGGTGAATTACACTTGATTTTTCGTCTGAAAATATTTTGTGTGTGGTCACATCAACTTCAAAATGATCACACCTTCTCATTACAAAGTTGTGAATTTTGTGCTGTTAGTCAAATTGAAGCATGAGGACCCCTCACCTATTTGCGGACATTCTTCCACTGCGGAGCTCCTCCAGGGCGCCAGCCAAGTCGTGTTCACTCCACGTCTTGTTAGGACCCTCTTTCTTAGGCGTCTCAATGCCCATACGGTGCGCACGCTGCCATAGCGTAGTGGCCGGGATGCCATACACGTGGGCTGCCTTGCTCAGTGACATGACAGCGTTGCGCAGCGCGTCCAACGCCTTGTCCATGTCCTCATCCGTCCACAGTTTGCGGCCCCCCGGCGTCCCAGACAAGCTCTCCGTGTCTTGGTGAGGAGAACACAATCATTATTTACAGTTACTGAGATCGTGGCTTAATTCATGTCTTGAACAAGCTATCGTGTACATGACTTATGCATTTCCTAGAATTACAAAGTGTACACAATAAAAGTTTTCACTCAAATGTGAAAAAAGACATGTTACTTGTTAAGACTTGAAAGAGAGAAACTGAGGGTCACTGATGCGTAGGGCTCAGAGGAAGAGAGAGACAAGAACACTTTTCTTAACAAAAAGTGGATGGTAGGAAAAGAAGTGAACGTACATATCACCGTGCAAAGGCTTGCAGTAAACAGAGAAAGAGAAACCAGACCCAGAGCTGTGAACATGAAGGTCTAGGAAAGCAGGAGATATTTAGATTCCATTCAACTTTTAAATTGATAGGAGCCAGCCTGTTAAGAGAGAGAACAGGCTGGAAAAGAATGAGTCACGAGACCATAATAAAAAATGTCATCAACATAGTGAGGCCAGAGAGAGGGACGAGTGTCAATAGTGGGAAGAACAGTTTCAAAGTACATAATAGAGATGGAAACCCATAGCGTCACCGAAAATTTGAGAAAAGTATTGTTTTCACTGAAAGAGGAGTTAATACAGTCTGATGAGTTCGAGAAAACGTCAGTAGGAAGCAGATATATATATATATATATATATATATATATATATATATATATATATATATATATATATATATATATATATATATATATAATATGTGTGTATGTAAATCACGAAAAATAAACACGTGATTAAAAAGTGACAGTGTCAGACCACGGAGGAAAATTGAAACAGGAATTACGAAAGTACTTAAGGAAATTCCTGTTTCAATTTTCCTCTGTGGTCTGACACTGTCATATATTCCATATAAATGATCTTACAATTGGTGCTCGAAGAATTCTCCCAATCCATTTGGTGAGAAAGTTCACGCAAACGAATGTATAAAACGTTGGACAACGTTTTATACATTCATATCGAGAAATTCTAAATTTAAAATGTGAAGTTTGTCCATATAAAATGTATCACACTCCTCACATGGTATTTTGTGAATGAAAATTATCACCAAGCAGGCTATTCTAACTAGCAATTTATAAAAGGCTTTCTCATAATTAAACACAACTTGTAAATCAAATAACTTCAAGGTAAGTAACAATATTTTTCAGTGCCTCTTCCTCTCTGAACCCGCCTACTAGCCTAACTCCGTAAATACCCACGTAACTGTAAACGCCTACATTCCCCACAACCTAGAACCCACCCCGTTCCCCAGACTTGCTAAGATACTGCCAACACACCATAAGACTTATTCCCCGCCCAGCAGTCCCCTCCCCCGCCCAGCACCCATCAAGCACCTCACCATGCAATAACTCCCACGCCAATGGAACACACGTCAAGGGCGAGTGTAAGTCACAATGGACAGAAAAACGTGAGCTTTAAAGTAACGTACACACACACACAAGATTACAAAGTAATGGAACTTGGGGAATGGTCGCGGGAAGAAAACTGATTTAATTGCATTCACATAAACAAAATTTAGATGTTATAATTAGTGCAGTCATTCCTCAAGCCTACTTCATAACAGAAGAATGGGAAGGAAGTAAGGGACTGAGTGGCCTTGATGATCAAGAAGGGCTGGAGTTTCCAGATGATGATCCAAGACTGTGAAGGTCTTGGGGACCACATCATGGGCACCATGACAATGGGAGGACCGAATATATAGTAGTAATAATGATATACAGCTCTAAATAACGGAAGACCCAGGAATGAGTATGACAAACAGCGTGGTTACTAGTAGTAGAAAGAGTTGCTTCTGTCGTCGGTGGGACTATAACCTGACTATTACCCATGACAAGATAAACTGGGAGAACAAAGAACCACATAGTGGCACAGATATATGGGAAGCTAAACAAGAAAAAATATCAGAGGACCCACAAGAATGAGAAGTAATGATGAACCAGCAAGACTTGACCTGATATTCACTCTTGAATGAAGGTTTATTTGAGGCCTGCAAGGGAATGAGTGATCACTGCGTACTGACATTGTGTATCTGGTGGAAGTAGGAATAATCTGCCCGGGGAATTGTTTACGAAAGAGGTAACTACAAAGAAATGATACAATTCCTAGTAAGAATACCATTGGGAAACAGAAGATCACAAAACACGATGGACTACATCACCCAGAAGTGTCAAGAGACAGTAAACAATTTTGTCCCTGCCGAAAAGGAGAAAACTTAAAGTCACATAAGGAACCCTTAGTTTAACTAGGGAGGTAAGGAAGGAAAGCAATAAGCGCAAGTTAATAGAGAAACTTCGTAAATAACATAAAACCTGAGAGAGCCAAAGGAGGTACCAAAGGGTTAGGAACGAGTACCTCAGAGTGATGAGAAACAAAGTGGAGAGAAATTGAAAAACAAGAACAAGCAAATAAAATAAACACCTAAGCTGCTTTACAGCCACATAAGTAGAAAACAAAAATGAAAGAAACAGGTGATGAAACTGAGGACAGGAGAGGAGAGACCTCGATAAGCCTAACAGGCTTCCTCTCTTCAACAATGGGGAAACAAAAACATGATTCATGTTTCCCAATGCTCAAAACATGATTAAAGTTTCCCAATGCTCAAAATAAAGTTAATTTCCCCCATTGTTTAAAACTTGGTTCAAATTTCCCGCCGATTAAAACAAAGTTTGTGTTTCCCAATGTTCAAAACTTGGATTGTATTTCCCAACACTTCTAAGGATAATTCGTGTTTCAGAACGCTCAAAGCCTGGACCAGGATTCATCAGTCATTTACACAACCCCTTACGAAACCTGTAATCTTTCCTTAAGTATGGCGGCTTTATTTACATTTATTAAACGGTTTACGAGCTTAGAAATTTCACAACCCTATGTTGTTATTGTTATAACCTCGTAGTGCTTCGGAGCTCAGAAACCTTTTAATATATGTAAACAAACCTGCCATGAACGAGGAAAGGTGCACTGGTTTCGTTAGTGGTTTGTATTTCCCAATGTGGAAAAATATTATTTGCTTCTCTACGCCTAAAACCGGGTTTGTTTTTCCCAAACGCTCAAAACATGTTTCGTTTCCCAGCGCTCAAGTTCTGTTTTCCCCTCAACACTGTAAACTTGGTATGTGTTTCCTAACAATCAAATCCTTGTTTTTTCAAAACACACTTAACCCGCTTTGTGTTTCCCAACGCTCAAAATCAGCTTTGTGTTTCCCAACGCTCAAAATCAGCTTCGTGTTTCCCAACGCTCAAAACCGGGCTTTTATTTCCCACCGCTCAAAATGTGGATTGTTTCTCAAACGCTCAAAATATAGATCAATTCCCTAACGCTCAAAATATTGTTTCTCAACGCTCAAAATATAGATGGTTTCCCCAACGCTCAAAATATGGATTGTTTCCCAACGCTCAAACTATTGATTGATTCCCTAACGCTCAAAATGTTGTTTCTCAACGCTCAAAATATGGGTGTTTAACTTAACAAGCAGTTTGGTGTCAGTGTTTTTGATCTTCGTTATTTTATTAAGTTCTGCAGAAATGAAGTCGGTCAGAAAACAGGCACCATACTTTATTTCACTTCAGTTTATCATCGTACACATCAAAGGTCTTCAAGCAGGTTTTGGTTATTCAGCGCCTTGTGCTTCCCTAGAAAACGAATCGCCAATAATTTTATAAAGAACGTCCGAAGGTGACGAGGACGCACCTCGAAATTGCTCTCTACTATCAAAAAGAAAAAGAGTTCTCGTATTCTCCGCCCGAGCTGTGGAGGTGGTTGGTACTTGTCGCCACCGGAGACTAAGTCTCCCTATTGACAATTGCGGCTAATGCTCGTCGCAGTAGCAATACGAGTTAGTACTTATCAATACTCCAGTGAAGTAAGGTAAGTGGCAATGAACGTCAAAGGAGTGACAAAGTGGTACTCACCCGAGGAGTAGTGTGAGGTGGCGTTGGAAGGCATGAGTCCTAAGAGCTCCGGCGTGACGGTCATGCGCTGCCCGCTAGAATCGGTGCCGTCGGAAGTCAGATGCTGCGTATCCCCTTCGTTCTTTGTGTAGGCACCGTACCCGGTGTTATAATCACCGGCGTGGGACGTGCCCGCGCCGTCATCTGACGGAGACAAACCCGGCAGGACATGTGGGGGCAGGGCCGTCTCTGGTAAACCATGGAGGAAAGGAGGTAAGAGTCAGGGCGTTGGTTAGAAGAGAGTTCGGGGAAAGCCGGGATCCCAGTTCCACTTATCATCAGGAAATTACCGCCGAGGATGACAGCACAAGCCACCGCTTACCAATAGCATAGTAAACCACAACCCTAAACCAAACAATGTCACCTGCGGGGAAGAACGCAAGCATTTGTTTTGTTAGAAGCCCAGACCAGAGCTGGAAACGAGTAATCTGAAAAATTGCAAGCATTTTGAAAGCCGTAATTTAATCAATCTTAGAATATTCTAATTCAGTTACCCAAATTACACCAAAATAAGCTGAGGCATTCGTTAGCTATGTAAGATTTTACTGCTATATATGAGGTGAGATTGGTGGTAGTGACGCAGGAGGAGAGATACGTCAGTTGGGGACGGGTGGGAAACTGAGGATGATGATCTTGTAACAGCGACTACCTTCACACAAGAGACGGTCTGACAGTACCCATGCAGTAGTCAGCACCAACGTTTCATGCTCGGGGCCCATGCACAACATTTTCCTCTCCCCCGGACCACAGCAGGACAGGAGGGAATGGGAACACGCATCACCGACATACAACACACACAAGCTCTGGACGGAGGAAGTAGAGAAAAAAGTGGTACGTAGAATTCTCGTGATAAGCGTATCACATACACTATTATCTAAGGTCATACCTTGACAGACATACACGGGCTTCAAGCATACGTCTACACTGTGATTCCATCTAGGAGCTGAGAGTAAAGGTTGTCAAGTAGCAGTGGGAAGTCTGAAACACGGTACATCGGGTATAAACGAAGCCAAGTCTACAATACAGGCAAGACACTACAAGGAGTCACATCAGAGTACTCTATAATGACCGCAGGAGAGCTCTGTTCTTTCAATACTATTATGCAATATAATCTCGAATTGCGAGGTGCATATATTAAAGTTAATCCTTCAAAAGTCTGGATTTGTCTATGCATTAACACATATAATTCTTGAAATATGAACTCGATATGAAGACTTAGCAAGAGTGGTTTATTGTATGGAAGTGTACACACCACTTGGGTGATATCCAGTTTTGTACACTGAAACGTGGCAGAAGATTTTCAGCTAGTGGAGGAATTAATGTGTTAAGATACGTAACCAGAAGGTGGTATACCATCCATATGGCTGGTGGATCTCAGTAAATAATGAATTATTGAAGTGTGTCACGACCAGAGCAGTTGGTGGTAAACATCACGTGACAACAGGCTGGTACGATGCACATTATGTGATCATCTCGGCGCGCATGAATAGGTTGTTGTAGTCTACATTTGTATTACCATATGTCCATATGTTTAAGAGTATATCTGGCTATACTGACCTCTGATCAGTATGCAGTGTTTGTCTAGAATTTTAGGCACAAAAGTAAACAGAAATGATAATTATATTTCAGTTAATAAGTACTTTGATCTGACGTGTGGAGACACGCGACTTGTTGCCACTAAAGTAAGTACCTTGTGTAGCTTTAGACATTCTTGGTTAAATGTGACACTACATTTGATGCACTAGACACGATGTAGGGAGCTGGAGGTACTGAGACATACTTTTGACTACAGACTACGGAAAGGAACACGTTACTTACTAGCAATATAGTGTTAGGGGGGCTTGTATTGAGACTCAATACAGGACACTAGGTGTGTGTAGACTCGGGTAAAGGTTACTAAGAGAGAGAGCCACAGAGGGGAAATTCACGTAGATGATGTCAAAAGTTCACGTCACTCATGTCTACGAAAAATGCCAATCATGAAAGAAAAGATCAGCCAACAAGGGCATCATACGACCAGGTCAAAGCAGAAGTCAATAGGGGGCATCATACAGCCAGGTGACAGCAGAAGTCAACAAAATGTTTTGGATGCCACAAAGGTTACCGTCACAAGATTAAGCAATAGGACAGGCCAGAGTTCGTCAGTTTAATCTAAATATTATGGAATGAGACAGGTCATTAAGGGCTAGTTGTGGTTGTTAAGGGAAAGATGGACGTCTTGTAGGAGAGGCTGCTTAGGAACTGTATTATACTCATGTCATGATGGTTAGCTAAAGTTATTGAAGGTTAGCTGTGAGGCCACCAACTTTGTCAGTCACAAACGTGCTTAAGGTTAGCTGTGAGGCTATCAACTTTGTCAGTCACAAACTTGCTTGAGGTTAGCTGTAAGGCCACCAACTTTGTCAGTCACAAACGTGCTTGAGGTTAGCTGTGAGGCCACCAACTTTGTCCGTCACAAACTTGCTTAAGGTTAGCTGTGAGGCCACCAACGTTGCCAGTCACAAACTTGCTTAAGGTTAGCTGTAAGGCCACCAACTTTGTCAGTCACAAATGCCAGAGGTCATGAGCGAGGACACCCGTACACACATCATTTGGATAAGTCACGGGGTCACCACAATCAATAAATGTCACATACAGGAGTGCAAGTGATGTTATACACCAGGTCACGAGGCCAGGGTCCCAGCTGTGACATGCGCGTGTGTAAGCCATACAGTACAGCACAAGAGAGTATAATGGGGCGCCTCATCTTCCACACCTGAGTGGAACACTGACATGAGGGACGGAGAGTGGGGTGTTACACGCCACACGTCGCCACGCTAAACATGTGACGCTGGAGGTGGTGTGTGTGTGTGTGTGTGTGTGTGTGTGTGTGTGTGTGGAGTGTGGTGTGTGTGTGGGTGTAGGAAGCAGAGGGGAAGCAGGGGGGGGGGGGGGGGGTTAGTGTTGACCAGAGGAGGAGCAGGAGCAGAAGCAGCAGTACCCAGGCTGCTGACCAGCAATGTTAGGGAGGTCACACAGCAACACCAGGAGAGCTACACACCAACTAGAGAGGACGGCCGCTCTTCACAGCCTCCCACTACAAGGTTATCAAGAGTAATATGACGCAAGGGTATACGACTACTGGCGTGGGCGTGTTGGCGTGCGCGACGTATTGGTGTTACCTGGTTGTGGCAGGCCGACCGAGGGGCCCAGCTCCGGCAGGGGGGGCGGGGCGTGTGCAGCTGGGGGGTGCGCCTGAGAGGGGTGGACAGCCTGTGGAGGGGCGTGATGGGCGTGGGCAGCGGGCGGCGCGTGGCTGGCTGAGGGTGCGGGCGGCGCCCCGCCTACGGTGAACCAGCACATGGTACATTACTACAGCAGGACCCACACTTCTCACCCGCTACTACTGCTACCTTCCTTAGACTAGATGCTTGGCGCTGTGTCATACTAGCGTGTAGAGGAGTAGGCTAGCGTCAGGCTGGGGTGGGGGGATGGAGGGTGGCAGGGGTAGGCGGTGTAGGGAGGCAAGGGTGGGCGTGGGTGTAGGGAGGCAGGTGTGGGCGTGGGTGTAGGGAGGCAGGTGTGGGTGTAGGGAGGCAGCGGTGGGTGTAGGGAGGCAGGGGTGGGCGTGGGTGTAGGGATGCAGGTGTGGGTGAAGTTAGGCAGGTGTGGATCTAGGGAGGCGGGGGTGGAAATGGGTGGTGTAGGTAGGCAGGGATGGGCGTGGGTGTAGGGAAGCAGGGGTGGGTGTGGGTATAGAGAGGCATGGGTGGGCGTGGGTGTAGGGAAGCAGGGGTGGGCGTGGGTGTAGAGAGGCAGGCGTGGGCTTGGGTGGTGTAGGGAAGCAGGGGTGGGTATATAGAGTGGGTAAGCCTAGCAAGTCACTGAGGGAGGAGAATACTATATATCCTTTACCCACGTTGTGAGTTATATATACTTTCGCAAGCTCGTAAATCACTTAGCTTACTCTTTATTCCTTTCTCCCTCTCTCTCTCTCTCTCTCTCTCACACTCTCTCTCTCTCTCTCTCTCTCTCTCTCTCTCTCTCTCTCTCTCTCTCTCTCTCTCTCTCTCTCTCTCTCTCTCTCTCTCTCTCTCTCTCTCTCTCTCTGTTGTATGTGTTCCTGTGCAAACCAGGACATGCATTATATATATATATATATATATATATATATATATATATATATATATATATATATATATATATATATATATATATATATATATATAAACGAATATATTGTAAAAGACTCAATACGTATGCAAATTTGAGTCAAATGATTTAATTTTGAGTGTTAACGAATGTGTGAGGTTGGAGGAGGGAGCGTGGCCGGTGCAAGACGGTGCCATGTTGGCTTTACATTATAGGCAGGTGTGTCCACAAGTGTCCTGCCTTGCTGCTGGCCACACCTGTGTCCACCACACCATCAGCAACAGCACAATACCAGGCGTGCCTGCGTACCAGCTTGAGCTGTGCGTGCACAAGTAGAGCTACAGCTCCTGCCACCCGCTTCTTCACCATTTGTGCGGTGTTAGGCATTTCCGACCCCCCATAAGTCTAAGCGTATTTACATCTCAACTTTGATATGATGTTTGCCTTCCCAACTTTATCCTCTGGTGCATCCCATTGGCCTCATACTGAGGCAGTTCTTCCTCATAATATCCACGCTACACAACAAACCTCAACGTCTGATTTCCTGCAGTAAATCTAAATTTACTGAAGAAATTTACTAAATGTACTAAATTTACGGGCTAAATTCTCTCTCTGTGTTACCAAGCTTTCTTCTAACCCTCTCAGTAAGCACCAGCAAGAACTACTTTATCTCTTGCTACTTCGCCTGCCCCCCACTATGGCATTGATCCCGATAGTTCCTTTCATCAGTTTCATAATTGTAACTAGTACCTTTCTTCCTTCAATGGGGCACTAATCCCCGCTCTTGACGGTTTGTTTTAAAAAAGTTCACCACCTTCCTAGTAGCTTCCAGCTTGCCTTTGCCTCCCTGAAAGCTTACAACTCTATTGCTATCCTTCCGACAAAGACAATTCGGTGGTAGTACTTCCAAAAGGTTGTTTTGTTCAGATTCCCGTACATATGCGCCTCTGGTTTCTAACTGTGTGTGTACTCACCTAGTTGTGCTTGCGGGGGTTGAGCTTTGGCTCTTTGGTCCCGCCTCTCAACTGTCAATCAACTGGTGTACACATTCCTGAGCCTACTGGGCTCTATCATATCTGCATTTGAAACTGTGTATGGAGTCAGCCTCCACCACATCGCTTCCTAGTGCATTCCATTTATTAACTACTCTGACACTGAAAAAATTCTTTCTAATGGCTCTGTGGCTCATCTGGGTGCTAAGTTTCCACCTGTGTCCCCCTTGTTCGTGTCCCACCCGTGCTGAAGAATTTGTCTTTGTCCACCCTGTCAATGTGTGTGTGTGTGTGTGTGTGTGTGTGTGTGTGTGTGTGTGTGTGTGTGTGTGTGTGTGTGTGTGTGTGTGTGTGTGTGTGTGTGTGTGTGTGTGTGTGTGTGTGTGTGTGTGTGTGACACTTTAAATAAAACCTTATTAATTTTTAGTTTTCATTAGCTCAAATTATACAGGCCTGCGTTTTGCAATTTATTTTCTGTTAGTCTTTTGCACTGAATCTAACTAATCTGGCTACAATGTATTAAAAAGTGACAATGGTTTTTTGTTCAATCAGCTTAGGTTTTTCAACTACGCCTGTATTCGATAAAACCTCGTCTTCTGGTTAAAATTCTCGGTTTTAAATGATAGTTCTAAAAAAAGGTTAATAATGACTAATCAGTAGAAATTCTTTTATTAACAGTGAAAATCAACCGGAATTCATCACTGGGGCAGAAAAGACGTCTTCAATGATTTTAGTTTGTTGTGTGTGCTGGGCAAGTCACGTGTTAGACACCAACAGTAATCTGCTGACAAGTTAATACTTTAGCACCCCTGATGCTTGGCTTCCATATTAGCAATACCTTGGTGGAACCATTCCCCTTGTCCCTCACATCAGTCTTCGTAGATCTCAGGGAAATAATATAGATGTGATATGAGCAAATGAAATTTTACTAACAAACGTGCTCCCACAGTCTAAACTCTTCACCAAGTCTCCAACAATGCGCACGTATTCTAAACTTTAGTGGTTTTCGAGAAAGTTGTTCACTATTGATTTGAATGCTTGACATGCATTCATCTTACTCATATCTCTTTCTAACTGCTCATCCCTCATTTGGCTGCTAATATCAGGGTCATAAAAATACCTTCATGCAATTTAGCATCACTTTTATTGAAATTTTAGTGTCACGAAAACAAATGCTGGACTTTCACTAATAATAGCCTTGACAAAATTGTTCATCACTCCCAAGTTTTATATGAAGAGGCGGCAGCAAAATTTGACGAGGACTGACTAGAGGTTCAGCAACCACACATGAGCCAGGATAAAGGGCTTTTGGTGATGAACTTTCCCTTTGCTCACAGTTTGTGTCACCTGCTCCATTATCACACAGACAAACTACTCGTGGATATTTGGTGTAGTCTCCTTGCATTTCTAATATTAAAACCAGTACATTAGGCTTTCTGTACGAGGAAAAGAAATAGCTAGAAAACTTGAGCTGATCATTGGATACGAATTCCAGATATGAATCCGGCACGTTGAATACGTACAGAATCCGTTCTAAAAAAAAACTAACAGCAAAAAATGCCGCAGGCCTGTGTTATTAGTACTCATTTTTATCACCTTAATTGAAATAACCCTCGTTTTTGCTATAAGTGAAAATGTGAAACATTTGACGTCAAAATGCGGTATATTATGTGAGAGGACAGGTTGTTTATTTGCACGTGGTAGGTGGCAGGCGTCTCCTGAGACGGGGATGTCAGTCAACATGTCGAGACTTACAAGCACCAGACACCCCCACGCACCCCACACTCTTCAACCTCTTCTCTCACGCACTCTACCTAAGGCCAAACACATATATACAAGAAAATGGTAGCGGCTGGCGAAATTGACACAATGTCCCGTTGTTGGTGGGTCGCATGGTTGGTTAGGTTAAGGTACTGCAGTACGACAGTTTCTTGATGTTGGGAACGCTAGCGAGAACGGGGTGGTCTGTTACCCCTTACATCACTGGTTCCCATCTTTTGTGCTTCATTCCCCCCTTACAACCATGTTCTCACCTGTGGACCCCCCTTACAACCATGTTCTCACCTGTGGACCCCTTACAACCATGTTCTCACCTGTGGACCCCCCTTACAACCATGTTCTCACCTGTGGACCCCTTACACCCATGTTCTCACCTGTGGACCCCTTACACCCATGTTCTCACCTGTGGACCCCCTTACACCCATGTTCTCACCTGTGGACCCCTTACAACCATGTTCTCACCTGTGGACCCCTTACAACCACGTTCTCGCCTGTGGACCCCTTACACCCATGTTCTCACCTGTGGACCCCTTACACCCATGTTCTCACCTGTGGACCCCTTACACCCATGTTCTCACCTGTGGACCCCTTACACCCATGTTCTCACCTGTGGACCCCTTACACCCATGTTCTCACCTGTGGACCCCTTACACCCATGTTCTCACCTGTGGACCCCCTTACACCCATGTTCTCACCTGTGGACCCCTTACAACCATGTTCTCACCTGTGGACCCCTTACAACCACGTTCTCGCCTGTGGACCCCTTACAACCATGTTCTCGCCTGTGGACCCCTTACAACCATGTTCTCACCTGTGGACTCCCTACAATTACGTTCTCTATAGTGAACACGAACAACAATATAGACGGAGCGACCAGAACAGACACAAATAGTCACAAGCTCTGCCTTATTATGCTTCGGTAAAACTGCATGTAAATATTAAGAGGAGACGCGGCTCAACACACTCGCTGGTTCTTATTTCCTTAGAGGAGACCCTTAAAATTCCTGGGTGTATGGCTCCCCTGCAGGAAACAACTGCCCTACTACAGCTTACTCGACGCCCTTACCTTTAGGTTACCTTGAGGTGGTTCCAAGGATCAGCGTCCTCCCGGCTCGACCTAGTGGTCGGTGTGTGATGGTCAAGCGGACTGTTAGACGTCGCTGCCCGCAGTCAGATGTATGAAGCAGTCCGGTTGACGTATTTGTTTCCATATTACATATTTTCACATTCTAATACGGCACAGGTGGCGACGCTGAGTCTACACTATCCGCATCATGTACAATGCCCCCCCCCCCCACTAGACCTCTTTCGTACACCAGCCACAAAGGATGTTCAAATGGCTTATAGACCTAGGGCCAGATTCACGAAACAGTTACGCAAGTACTTACGAACCTGTACATCTTTCCTCAATCTTTGACGGC